ACCCACCCCCCACGCCCGTCTCGTCCCTCGTCCTGTTTCACAGGGTCCACATAGAGCTATATACAAAATTTCCTTTTCTTTTAAATATTTTGTTCGGTTCAAGATCTCTTCAAGACACCGTGGATAACAAGTACACCGTCAAGTTGTAAACACACGCCCCTAGTGTGTTCGAGGTCAAGTCAATGCGAAGGGACAAAACAGCTGTATTCTCCCTGAAACTGAAACAAAACTGCTTGTCTCCCTTCCCGGACAAAATAATATTAGGCTAAATCCTGCTAACTCTTGATGTACAAAATTGCGGAATTTAATCATTTTGCTCTCAATTCTTTTCTGAGCAGAGACATTTGTGGTTTTAGCTCTTAAGCAGTCAGGCCTCGCTGATTTTTTCTATCCCGTTTTATTCGTTGATATCCACCATGAAACGATACTTTATCTTGTGTTAAGTCCTATAACTAGCCCCTTCCACGCTCTCGGTGGTAAGCAGGGGTAACTATAACAGTGTACTTCGATAAATGAAGTTTAAAAAATTCAAACACTAAGCATACGCAATGCACAGAGATCATTTACCAAATTCGGAACCCTATAACTGTCACTGCTTAAACTATTCCATTAGGAAAAAAAGGGGAGGGAGGGGCGGGGGAGGAGGGGACGAGTTAAGGATCAAAGTTTATGCACGTGGGGTTGTGAACTCCTGGGACTCAATTCGAATTGCATTGCGTCCGTTGAAAAGTTGTTTAAATTATTAACATCAAGATTATTCCACCCATGTTGCATGTTTTATCGCAGAGACCAAGAAAGGGTGTGTATGGTAATTCGTCAACAATTATGGCTTATCTCACAAATGTTTAACCAATTAAACCAGGGATCATCAAACATTTTAAAATTAAATGGGCCAGAAAACTAAGGCAATGCCGAGTGTAAGCCGAATTTATTTTGTTTAATACAATAAACTGAAAGCACAAATAAAGGAAACCGTTCTTTTGATTTTTCATTACACAAAATACAAACGTCACACAAAAACACATCAGCTATAAATTATGAAGTCTATAACGGGATGCATTATAATTGAAAGAGTTCAACAAAATGATTAAACTGCGTATTTTGTTGACAAAGCACTGAGCACGCTCCACGAACATAATAATAACAACAGCATTAATAATAATAAAGCAATAGTAATGGTAACAATAACAATAACAATAATAACTATAGTAATAATAATTGATAATAATAATAATAATAATAATAATAATAATAATAATAATAATAATAATCGCAGTTATAATCATAATAATAATAATATCAATATGTTATGATGACAGACATTAAATACTTTATGACATTTTCAGTAGAATTGAGTAAAACAGCGTATATGATCCGTTTTAAATAATCTTACAGCTGCTTAAATAGAAAATCTAAATGCCAACTATTCTTCCCCAACGTCTCTGCTGGAAACTAGTTGTTCTATTTCCTTCCACTTTCCTGCTACACCATTTACTGTACAATAATAATAATAATAATAATAATAATAATAATAATAATAATAATAATAATAATAATAATAATAATAATAATAATAATAATATGTATACCATTTGCAACCGTTGACAGCAAAATGGAAAGAAAAGGTCATAATCTATTTTACTCTATAAGTGAACTCAAACTATAATCAAACTTTGATGAATCAGTTGAAACTAATACAATACAAAACAACCTCCAGAATAATCGTTACTATGATTTCTCCGGAAGGTCAGTTAGCTCCAGGCGTCACATTATCTTTCCAGTCAATATCTAGATTTTGTTTTCCTTTCTACCACACTTGGCACTTCTTTTCCGCGTTCATGAATGACGTTTTGGGACAACTGAACACTCGGGAGAAGTCCTCAGAATTCTGGTTTGGACCAATCACTCTGCGGAACACAAAAAATATTTTTTTAACGGAGCACAAATTTGAATTCTGGAAAATGACATCCACTTTTAATCCACAAAGGAGGTAGCCAAATGACGTTGGATTTCCTTTTTTCCTCAGGCGATTGTAAGTATATTGTGGGTGTCTGGGGACTTTTCTAGAAAGATGTTAATTTGGCAAAGTATGCGGAATTCAAATGTCTAGCCAAAAACTCTAAAGAAAAACAGTTTAGGAATAATACCTTTGAAATGGCAAACGAAGAAAATCTGAAGTTGAGCATGCATAATAGTTTTGGTATTTACCTTTGTGAAAAAATGAATAGTCTGCGCCAGCATGTGTACGCATGTGTGTGTATTTGTGTATGTGTGTGTGTGTGTGTGTGTGTGTGTGTGTGTATGTGTGTGTGTGTGTGTGTGTGTGTGTGTGTGTGTGTGTGTGTGTGGAGGGGGGGGGGTGTTATACTTTTAAACATGTATGGGTTTGTCTGTGTATTTGCAAATATTTACAGACATGAAAAAAACAGGTATGGCTTAATATCTGTTCATTTGCACCAATAGCGTGTGTGTGTGTGTGTGTGTGTGTGTGTGTGTGTGTGTGTGTGTGTGTGTGTGTGTGTGTGTGTGTGTGTGTGTGTGTGTGTGTGTGTGTGTGTGTGTGTGTGTGTGTGTGTGTGTGAGTGTATGTATGTATGTATGTGTGTGTGTGTGTGTGTGTGTGTGTGTGTGTGTGTGCGCGCGCTCGTGTGTGCGTTCACTTTCTCATTAGGCTGTAGTGCGTATTTGGGCCTATGTTTCGGAGGCCAGTGAATTATTTCAAAGTCTTACCTATACTGCCCTGGACTATGGACACCCGATCTGATAAGTTGTATAACAGACTCTCTTCTTTCCAGATTACACCAAACCTGTGAAAGGAAAAGGGTAGCAGTCTAAATAAAAAGTGAACGAATTGATATTATGCCAAAGATAGAACAAAGATGGAGTCGATAAGTTTGGTTAATTACTTCCCTTAGGCTCCAATGGTGCTTCAAATGGGCGGTTAGCCTATTATTACTTTGGTAAACTTTTGCATTGAGGCTTAGATTTCTTAGTCCATTTTTTTAATTGTCGATGGAAGTTCTTTCTAGCACTTATGCGAGATATGTATTACTCATTGTAATGCTACAGCTGATATCTGTTGTTTCAAAAACTTCCTTTAAAAACATCATCATATCATTATTATTAGTCTCGAAATTTGTCAGACTTGCTGATAGTCTCATATTTTTCCTGCCAATCCACTCTGAAATGTAACTTTCACATCTTTTCTTTTAGCCTCTTTTCCATATTCCTCCTTGTACTGTGCCTTGCAACATTGTTATTGCTCGTCCACAAGGACATGCAACGTCTTCTATTTCAGCTTGTCTCCTATCACAGTGGACAGCCAGTCACTATAAGAACCACTATCTCACTGAATTCTTTTCCTATCTTCGCCTAATGTCCATTATTCTTTAGTCTACAAAAAGACAGACATGACAAGAGAGCATCGTTCTGGTGTTTGATCTGAGGAGAAAGCTTGTGCAAAGAGGGTATGATCTGGGCTTTCTTCAAACAGTGCCAATCGTTACCTTCCCTGAGAAAAGAAAAACTATCTCGCAGAATTATTTTCATAACTTCGATATGCATTTCTAATGAGATCTCTGAAGTTCTGCTGTCAAAGCCAGCATCTCTTTAAACGGGGTGCCCACAACGGATGGGATCGGCCGATCGGCCTGATCGCCCGACTCGATCGCCTCAAAAACAAACGTGTTTTTTTTTCAGTTTTAGTCTACGAAAAGACAGGCTTTTCTCAAGAGAGAACCATACCGGTCTTTGATCTGAGGGAAATGCTTCTGCAAAGAGTGTATGATCTGGGCTTTCATTTAACAATGCCAATGGTTCCCTGAAAATTGTAAACTTTCACCGTTTCCAGTTCCACGTTTCTATTTTGATATCATTACTGTTTCCATTGGTGTTGCTAGTTATCCTTTTGGTATTTTCGGCATTTACTGACATACAATTAGCTGTGGAGATCTTGATGAGGCTGATTATAAGCAGACTAATTTCTTTTCCGCTCTTTAATAGAATGTCTGTCAGCATGACGAAGCGCTGGATGGTAACAAAGGTCAAAACAAAAAAGAGAACGAAAACAAGAACAATTTTAGACATTTACTCCTACACATAAGTATACCTGTGCCTGATTGATGAAAAACAGCTGATCGTTTGAGTAAGGTAGTCCAGGTAAGATTGGTTCCTCTTTTCCTCTTGCGTTCACCCAGTTTCTATAAGCCTTGAGGGAGAAACACAGCATGGAATATAATACACTGCTCGTATAATATGAGGAAAGGTAAGATAAGATCAGATTAGTTTAAATAAAATTAGAACGTCCGCATCCTTCTGAAACATTAATTACTCGTAAAGCTTTTTTTTAAAAAGCAATAGATGGCAAAATAGAAATGGTAAGAGTTTAAGGTCCCTATCAACATTATTAGGTTATTTAAGAGGCAGGACCTCTAGGTTTAACTTCCATCCTCGAAAGGACCGAGCCAAGTGGGAAATATGTTTAAAGTACCTTTCCCAAGGACACAACGTCGACCGAGCTGAGATTTTAACTCTCGAACACGCAATCTCAGATTGCGAGTCCAGACAGCCAGGCCACTAGGCTACCGACGCCACTGCAATAGATGGGACGGCCTGGTATGTTGTTAATTTCAAATAATAACAACAACAGTAGCATTAATTATCTTTAAAACGGGAGGCACAAATTAAGTCCCGCGACGACCAATCACTATAGGCTAAATTGAGGACTGGCCACTTTTTTAGGCTGCGGGCCTACAAAAATAGAAAAGACAAAAGATCGGTTCCAATCTATCCATTTTGCAGCGAGGCGCCTGGCGATTTGGTGCTCTGGCTGCAGCGATGCCCAGCTACTGAGGTCCGGCGATGGCATCTCTTTGGGGAGGATTCGGAGAGCTGCATAATTATATGGTCTGTTCGTAGGCAGAAGATGGCGGTCGGTTTCTTTCTGGGTAGGTGGTTGTTATTGTCATTTCGTTTTGTTGTGGTCATATGTTTGAAAACTGCTCTGCTAAAAACGTCTTTAAGAAACCTAGGGTATATATCGCAACGTTTCCTTCATCCAGGTCAATAATTTTCATTATTTCCCTTACCCTAAAAGCCTGCTTGAGTCCTCCGTTGTCTGCGATGTTTTCTCCTTGTGTGTTGATTCCGTTGAGCTGAAAACCAAAAGGATTGCAACCATGGATTAACGTAACACAGAGCCGACTGAAAACTGAATTTGAACAAAATAAAGCTGTAAAACACCCAGCTGGCCATATTGAAAGGGTAATGGCAGACCATAATAAAACAGAATAACATCATAAAGACCTAATAGCCTGCATCCCAAGGTTAAGCGAGGACTCCATAGACCTCTGGTATAATTATATATCCAATAAGTCAAATTATGATAACACTCGGTAAATTGGAATATAGTAGAATTACCAGTTAGACAAAAAGCAACTCTCTCTTTCACTAACTCTCACTGTCTGTCTGTCTGTCTGCCTGTCTGTCTGTCTGTCTGTCTGCCTGTCTGTCTGTCTGTCTGTCTGTCTGTCTCTTCTCCGACTCCACTATCACTCCCAGCAACTCAAATTGAAATTATCTTTAGTCTGTGCCAAAGTTTTGGTCTTACCTGTACGATCTAACGAGATGCCAGGGCAGAGCAGTTGGACGATAAACATATTTGGATGGAGGTGGTGTTTGAAAAAAAAATCGTGAACTCTTCTGAGTGTGAGTCTGTGTGTGTAGCAGAGGTAGAGAGAGAAAGAAAGAGAGAGAGA